TGTTTCCACCCTGCGACATGCTTCGGACAATATCCCGGGCGGCTCGGGCCCCCCGGACCCCGTAAGGCGTTGGCACGGACTTATTAGGGAAGCCCATATAGAGGGGGAATTTGCGCCCGAGGCTTATCCAGTAGTGATACCGGACCTGCACTTGTTGTTTGTCACAGCCTAAACACCTGATAATGCTGTACTTCTGTTTGTTCAAACTCCTTATTATAGGAGCAGGGGTCTTTGTATGTCCAAACTCTGTACCTTTTGTTAACCCACGACAAAATGTTTGAATCACCTGGGCAAACCAGACTGGCCAAGAAGCCCTTTTTGCTTGTCCATGGCCACCCCATCGGATCCCTTTAGAACATGTCTTATTGGCTATCCTTATTTACACCCCAATGGTTTTCGTGGGTATTTATGTAATTTTATGTTTTTTAATAGTTCTCCATATATTTCCCAGTTGTTAAATGTCACCTGTCGTCAGTTTTATAGGTTAAAAAAAAAAAGTAGTCAGGTGGCTAGTAATTGTCCTAATGTTAGTTGGACCCTCCTATAGGCCTTATTTAAGAAAAAGGGGGGAGATGTGGGGATGTATCATCCCTACACCAACCTAATGAAAAGTTCCATGAGGAGGTAAGGGTCACGATGGGACACTTGCCAGGTAAACAAATCATGGCCTTATGTAAGGCCCCCTGGTGGTCTAGGAATTATATGAGGTAAACAAGGTAATAAATCATGGCCTTATGTAAGGCCCCCTGGTGGTCTAGTATTATATAAGATGAGATAAACAAATCATGGCCTTATGTAAGGAACGGTTGAACCAATCGGTGTGGGGCTATACATGTGATAAACACATGATTCTCCTTCTTGTCCAATCGGTAGATGTGTGATTATAGCCTAATTGTGTTATGTAATGTTGAGAAAAACTATAAAAGAAAGCTTGTAATAAACAGCATTGGATTCAGACTGCAACCACAGTGGTCGTGTGCTTTATCTGCTCCGCATGGAACCCCACAGTTACCTTTTCCGTAACTGGTGTTCTTCGAGATGTGTTGCTCATGTCTATTCCACATCCCGCCCTCCTTCCCCTCTGTCGGAGTTGTCTGGCAAGAAGGAACTGAGGGTGTAGCTCCCCTTATACCGCGCCATGGAGGCGCCACTCCAGGGATCACTAGGGGCACTCCCCTATGGGAACTGCTAGGGGAAAAACTTCCAGCACCAGGGCACATGGCGAGCACACACACCTACTGTGGAATAGCCATGAGCAACACATCTTGAAGAACACCAGTTACGGAAAAGGTAACTGTCTTTTTCTCAAAGAGGTTTCCCAGTGTCGGGAATTGTCCTTGAGCTTTTCTTGGTCAAACCTAGAGTCCTGCAGCCTACCAGACCTGCAAGTGACAACATTTGTCTATCTTAAGTACTTGTTGGCACTCATCACCATAGTATCTGAGCATTTTCAATCTTTAATGTGCATATCCTCACAACAGCCCTGTCAGGTAGGGTAGTACTATTAGTCCTCTTTTTTTCAGAAATAGGTAACTGAGGCACAGAGAGACTAATTGACTTCCCCAAGGTCACACAGGACGTCTGTAGCAGAGCAGGGAATTGAATCCAGGTCTCCCAATTCCCAGGCTAGTGCCACTGGACCATTCTTCCTCTGAGGAAGCATCCCTCACTATTTATCACTTGCACCAAAGGCCATCCCACACCCAGTGCTGGTCATGCCCTATATTTTTGAGCTGGGATAGGTATCTTACTAGAACAGAGGCTTTTTCTCTCAAAGCTCGACCTCCCCTTTGGGTATGAAGGACTGGTAATGTACAGCATGAATGGCTGTAGCTGAGCACTAGTAAATCTGACAAAATGAATCCCAGCTCTAAAGCTCAGCCTGAATGTTGGTGGATGTCAGCCGTCTCAACCACTAAGCTCTCCTATTGGGGCACATGGTAGGAAAATAAGGAAGGATATATGTGCTCTCAATAGGTGGGGGGGGGGGGGGACCTGAGGTGTTATGCACCTTAACCAGTGGCCCAAAACAGGATGCAAGGACTTGGAAACCCTATTGAACAGGCTTCCTTATCCAGGGGCATCTCAGCTGTGGTCCTTGTAGATACGTGGGCAGGTATTAACTTCAGATCTGCCAGTTTAGTCAGCTTTGTAGGGAAATTGAATCTTTTGCATGTGGTGTTGCTGTCCTGCTGCTCCCCTGTAGTGAAGATACACTTAGCATCAGAAAAGTTTTCCAAATAGTGCCACTGTCATCCTGATCTTCACCCTGCTTTCATTCAGCTGATTGAGCAGATGAGGGAACATGATGAGTCAATTTTGTTTTGAAAGACATTGACAAGTTGTGCTGAAGCTTTCTACACAGGGGAGGAGGGTGTCAGGGTATCAGTGTTGAGACCAGTAACTCATGACATAAATGCCAAATGCTGGGGAGCAGGCATCTTTCTTGGCACAGAAAGGTCTGTGGTTGCTCTCACAGATTTTGATGCAAGGGTCTGTGGTTATTATCAAAGATATTACCACACCCTTGGAGCTGACTAGGACACACCACTATGAATGGTCTCTGGATAAGTCTCTCTGTTCTGAACCAGGATGGAGAGGGAGCCCCAGAGGTCTCAGTGGGGAGCAGCCTTGTCATGTGATTCTCTCACCAGTGTGGCGCCTCCTGTTGGTTGTCTTGGGGATTAGCTTGCTCAGCCAGTGCTCCCTCTCCTGGTGGTGCGTCACCTGTCATCGTCAGCATCTGCAAAGAGGATTACCAACTGTCTAATCGCACAAACCCAAACACCATTTCCCCGCCCCCTGTCCCGCCTCTTCTCCAAGGCCCTGCCCCTGACCCCATGAGAGCAACCACGCTCCTTCTCCGAGGCCCCACCTCCCGCTCACTCCAGTCCCTTCCCTCTGTTACTTGCTCTCCCCCCACCCTCACTCACTTTCACCAGGTTGGGGCAAGGGGTTGAGATGTGGGAAGGGGTGCAGGCTCTGGGCTTGGGGGGTGGAGTTGAGGGGTTCAAAGTGTGGGAGGGGGCTCTGGGCTGAGCCTGAGGCAGGGTGTTGGGGTGCAGGAGGGGTTGCAGGCTCTCTGAAGGAGTTTGGGTGTGGAATGCAGGCTCTGGGCTGGGGCAGGGGGTTGGGATGCAGGAAGAGGTGAGGGGGGCAGCGCTTACCTCGGGTGGCTCCCGAAAGTGACCGGCACATCCCTCTAGCAGTGGTTCCTAGCCAGGGAGGTCAGGGGTCTCAGTGCACTGCCCCTGCCTGCAGGCTCCACCCCTGCAGCTCCCATTGGCTGTGGTTCTTGGCCAATGTGAGCTGCAGAGTCGGTACTCGAGGCGGGGGCAGTGAGTGGAGGTCCCTCCCCCACTTCTGGGAGCGGTGTGAGGTCAGGGCAGGCAGGGAGTCTGCCTTAGCCCCGCTGCGTCATCAGACTTTTAGCACCTTAAAATCTCCTGGTTTGGTGTCAGTAGACTCCAGGAGATAGGGCCTGATTCCAGAAGACTCCCGGTGAAACCAGGAGGGTTGGCAACCCATCTGCAGACCCACCTTGGTCCAACTGCAGCATCCTTTTCATGACTCAACCTTCTGGCTGTGCCACCATCTGTGTTTTCCCCCTTCCGGGGGTGGAATATCTCAGTTCTATAGTCTAGCCACTTCCCCAAGTGGTGAATGGGGGGGACGCAGGCCTGCCTACTACTCGAGGTCCCAGCCCAGGGACCCTGCGGATCACAACCTCCTGCTGTGCCCCTTTAACCTCTGTCTCTGCTGCTTACATTCCTGGCCCACTTCCCCATGGCCCCAGCACCTTCTTTGCCCTTTTCTCAGGGCCTCAAGCCTGCAAATCCAGCAGCCAACCAGAAGCGCTCTCTAGGTCCCCCGGTCCGTGCTAGCAGCCACTCTGTCCAAGATATTGACCTCTTGCAGTCCTCTCTCTTGGATTCCCTGCAGAAACTAATCCTGTTCTGCCCTGCAGCTCCCTTTTAGGTAAGCCTGGAGCTGGGGGGTTCATCACTGGTGAGTTGGAAGGCAGCAGGTACTCTCTCAGTGCCTCCTGCCAATGTGTGCATCTCTTGTAGAGGCAGTACATGATCTGGTTACTCAGACCACAGTATTACTGACTTCACTCACCAGTCTCTAGAGTATACCTGGGACTTGGCCCTTAGCAGAGCCCCTCAGTCTCTGGGGAGCAATACAGGATACCTCAGTGATGAAGCTACCTGACTTAGTGTAGAGGGAAGATGGTTCTGCACAGATAGAGGTGGTGCTGGTACAGTGTCCTGGTGCTCAGATATCAAAGCAGACTCAGGTTTATGTTTTGAGGATTTCTCATTCGAGTACCCCAAGCCAGCCTTTTGTCAGACTATGGGAGTCTCTGGAGGCATTCCCTATGAAGCCCTATGAAGCTTGAGAAGACATCTGCAGGCAGATCTGACACTCCTGCACAGCAAGCCCAACTCCAAGATTGAGGTGCAATGAATGTGATGTGACTGACATCATTCTGCTGCCATGGAGCTGACGAGCTGTGGAAGGGTGTACACGTGGTACTCCATCTACAGGTAGTAGCAGATGTGTCCTCCCTGTGCACCAAGGAGTGCAAGTGAGGCATTGCACCAATCCTTGGCACAATTCTTCCTCGAGCTCCCACTAGAGTGGTGCTTCTTACCCTCACTGCAGGGCAGTGCCTAGAAAGGTGTTCCTGAACCCTTTGTTAAACTGAAGCAGTATTTATGCATCATGACTCACCTAAGATCTGCTTTCAGAGTTGGGAAAGTGGGTGCACCTCCTAATTTTGTGTAAAACCTGAAATGTTGAACACAGACCATAGAACAAAAGGTTTCTACTAAGGGCAAATAGTACTTACAATAAATTCAAAGCTCACATTTCTTTGGTGGAAAAAAAAGTCTTGTCTTTCCCAATGAAGGGAAGCAAAAGTCAGTCTTGTGATGCTATTGCTCCATTGTGCTACATCACTTGAGGAATCAGACTATTGGAGGGATTGCCTAACTACCCTGTTTTCTCTGATTTCTACACATTGGAAGTCTCTGCTCATCGAAAACTCAAGAATAGAATAGCAAAGGGTGTAGCAGGTCAGGATGACATTGCATTAACAGTGACCTTGCACAGTGTCATCCCACATCTGTCTGTCAGTAGCTGATGTTAGTCCTTAATTTTCATGAATATCATATTTACTTACACACACATTTCTACAAGGAACAAATGTGCCAAGACCCATTCAAATGTAAGATACTGAAATCCAGAAGGAAGGTGTTTGCTGTGATTATCCAGATCTGAAAGTGTATTTCACTAGCTTTCACCAAAGAACATAAGTTTCTAATGAGTAAAGTGAGTAAAGCTTACTTCATAGACAACCAGCACATTTCACTACATTAGAAATACTTTGAAATGTTGACTTGTAGGAGGAGGCGGAGTTTAGCTCAGAGGTACTGTGGGTAGGACTCATTCATATCACAGTATTTAAGTTTTGGCATGCGAGAAAGAGTTGTCAGAGTTGAAGGTCTATTTCTAAAGGATAAATCGAAGAGTGGGGGTGGTTTTTTTTTTAATTTAAGATGCTAGCAGTTGATCTTCAGATTCTTCTTGTAATAATTTTGGGGACTTCTGATTGCCAGATAATCCCCAGGATTGAAAAATGTGGACTCTCATGTTCTCAGGTAAACTATAATTTGTTTGTAGCTGCTATCTATGAATGTAATACTTATATGCCACTACAATATTTATAAATGACATTTGTATTTGTGTGGTTTGTCTTTGAGTATTCATAGCATCAAAACAGGAATTAAAATGTTCAAGCCTTCCTTAGACATCACTTTTATACTGTTGTAGTTTTGGTATGAGTAAAACAATACAATATGACAAAGATGACAGTATATAAGAATACATCAGAAAGAAACTTTATCTTAAAGCAACTTCCAGGGTGGTATTTTTTTATCTCTTATGTATTTGGAGGTCAGAAATAAAAAGTATTTTATTTGTGGCCATTATTTTGGGGATTAAATTCTTACTATAACTGTGTAAGTTTTATAAGAACTGAGGGTGGTGCGATTTTCAAGTGTCAAAATATCTTAGGAGCACAAATCCCATTAACTTGTACTGAATTGGAAAGCTTGAAGATGAAGAGTAAAACCTTTTTGCTAGGAGGTGCAAATGTAACTCCTAATTTTAATGAGCTACATGTGTGCACAGAAGAGAGAATGTACCATGTCATTTCTTTAAGGGAATTGAATTTTGTATTGTTTTCATATATTTCCACATGGGGGCAGTATAGAGATGTCCTCATTTATAATGATTCCTGAAAACTAATAATAGAAATAATAAAACAAATCACTGAATAATTTATTATTTAAAGTTTAAACTAAAAAAGATTAAAAAATAAGGATGCTGTGATTTTTCAATCTTAATAGAAGACAAGCTTGACATGAAATATTTAGCTGCTGTTAAGAAGTGGAGCTGATGGTATGAAATGACAGTTTGGCTATATGTACAGAGTTCTGTTTGAGAATGTCATGGGATTGTGAAGCCCTTAGGGTGTATTTACATTTGTGTGTGTTTGTGTTCATGAATTCAGATCATATATGATCTCTATGTGCTTAAATATTATTTTACCATTGTGTTTTATTGTTCTGGAAAGAGAAAACCCCTTGCTATATTTTGTCCATTTGTTCATGAAGTTTTATATATTTAAAGCCTATAAAAATATTTTAAAAATCATATGAGAGGCCTGATTTTCCTTTACACTAAGGGTTGTTTACACTTCTCTGGCAGAATAAACATACCTTAAAGTGGGTATAAATTACACTGGTATTTTGCACTCACTTTAAGACTTTTACCCTGCCCCAGTGTAAATGAGAATCAGAGCCATGGTGTGTAGAATAATAATAGCACTTCGTCTTCAAAATATCATCCAAAAGTTTTCTAATTCTGAAGGCTAGGATAATTTTTAAAATACACAGTATACTTTTGTTCATTATGCATACTAAAATAGCTTCCTCTGATATAACAGAACCAACTGTAAAGTAACTTGAAATGCTTAAAAAATATGACTGCGTACATGTTCTGCATGTAATTTTTCTGCTGTATTTAGTAGAATCCTGAATTCATCAATTAATTTCAACAGAAAGATGTTTTCTTTCTGTGAAAGATAATTATCCAAATTATAGGACAAATTGGCCCAGGCTTTCCCCTACAGTGTAAAGCTTATGTAGCATTTTCAACCTGCTGCAGGGAGTTTTTGTTGGAGGATGCACACTGATGTTGGAAAGTTTCCTGAGCATCTTGTTAGACCAAATCCTCTTGCTCTTTTAATTTGAATGTTTTTTCTGCCCCAAACACACTTTCACTGGCATTGCCTTAAATGGGAGCAAGTTCCCTCCTGTGGAAACCTGAGTAAACTGGCTTTACATGGGACATTTACCAGGGGATAGAATACACCCTTGAATCTATGAGCAGGCCCAAGGTTCAGCACAGCTCCTCCCTCCATGGCTGCTAATCATGGGTGGCGGGTGACCCCATGCTTTCTGCCCAAGGTCCTGCCCCCCCGACACACACCGGAGCCTTGAAACCCCCTTCCCACCATGTAAAACGAGAAGCCCTGACTCTGAGGGCCCCCCCACGACCGGAGGAACCTCAGCCCGCCGGCCCCAGCCACATCAGGCTGAACTGCTGCCGCCACTCCCACCCCAAGCACCAGGCTGAGACGCTGACCCCCCAGTGCCGGGCAAGGCCAAGCCGCCGTACCCCCGCCAGAGTTGGGCCAGGCCAAAACGCTGTCCTCCTAGCGCCAGCTCCTCCTGCCCCTGAAGGCCCCACCCCCTCGCCAAGCCACCGGCCCCAGCACCCAGTCAAGCCTGCTCAGTCTGCCAGCTGCTGGCTCTTCGCGTCCCTCCTCACTCCCCCGTCCCGAGGAGGAGGGATGTGGCAAGCAGCAGGGACGGGGTGGGAGTGTGGTGTGGTGTGGAATGGAGGAGGCGGTGGGGGTCTCCGGGAAGGGCCTCAACCACCACAGCCCAGGTGTCCGGCAGTGGGTCGGCGGCAGCGCCAGGGAAGGCAAGGCCTTCCATGGCCTATTATACCTGCTACCCGTGCTGCTGCTAATTATTCCACAAACTAGTGGAACTTGGCCTTTGAGGCTAGCAATTTGCAGGATCAGGCCCCTAATTAGACACCATCAATTAAAAATCCACATTTCAGTCTGAACATTTTTTAATCTGCTATTGTTAGAAGTAGCATCCATAAAATCATGGAAATACAGGGCTGGAAGGGACTTTGAGAAGTCATTAAGTCCAGCCCTGGGGCTGAGGCTGGACCAAGGAAACCTAGAATATCCCTGATAGGTGTTTGTCCAACCTATTCTTAAAAACCTTCAAAGATGGGGATTCCATGACATCCCTTGGAAGCCTATTCCAGAGCTTAACTACCCTTATAGTCAGAAAGTTTTTTCTCATATCTAACCTAATTCTCCCTTGCTGCAGATTAAGCCCGTTACTTCTTGTCCTACCTTCAATGGACATGGAGAACAATTGATCACCATCCTTCTTTATAAGAGCATTTAACATATCTGAAGATTGTTATCAGATCTCCCTTCAGTTTTTTATTCTCAAGACTAAACCTGCCCAGCTTGTTTAACCTTTTCTCATAGGTCAGGTTTTCTGCTCTCTGGACACTCTCTAATTTGTCCACATTTCCTAAAGTGTGGTGCTCATAACTGGATGCAGTACTCCAGCTGAGGCCTCACCAATGCCACATAGAGCAGGACAATTACTTCCGGTGTGTCACATACCAAACTCCTATTAAAATACCCTAAAACGATATTAGCTTTTTTTGCAGCTGCATCATATTGTTGACTCATATTCAATTTGTGATCCACTACAACACCCAGATATTTTTCAGCAGTACTATTACCTAACCAGTTATTCCCCATTTTGTAGATGTGCATTTGATTTTTCCTTCCTAAGTGAAGTACTTTGCTCTTGTCTTTATTGAAGTTCATCCTGTTGAATATTGACCAATTCGCCAAGATGACTAGAACTAAGATTACAGAAAAATATTGTTTTTTCTTATGTGCATTTGACACCACTTATTATGATTAGTTTCACTGTTTCCCTTGGATGGATAGTTTCTTCCCCTGATGTTTGTGTGGATCTTTCACAAGCAACAGGGAAGTGAAAAGCATTTTAAAAATAAGAAAATGCAATTGCAAAACCACAAAAATTGGCAGGGGGATTCAGAGACCTGAAACTACTTTTCAGTAGTTTTGGAAGTTGACTAGATTTTAGTGTGACTATGTCTTTGAAATATTTCTAAGTTGTTCTGAGATCCTTTGGGAGATGTGGCAAAAGAGCAAAGTATTGTTTTTACTTATTAAGAGGGATATGACAATTATCTGTTTTGAGGTAAGTGATGCTGAAAATACACTATAATGGCAGTTTAGGATTTTGATTTTATTACCATTTAATTAATCACTATTAATTTACAATAGATATAAGGCACCACCCATTGTTGGATATATTCCATGTTTCATAATTACTGTGTTATATTAAAAATGCTGTATGCCATCTGGATCCCAGAAATATATATGTAAAAGGACATTACATATTCTTCAAATGTGATGTGATAGATCTGCACAGCAGGGGATTTATAACTCCCAGTACTCTCCTTCCCACTGCACAGCCCCTTTCTCTGGGCTAAGCAGGGACCATGTTTCCCATCAGCCCCTTCACCACAGCACATCCCCTTTCCCTGTCCAGGGAAGGGAAAAGGTCCCTGTGCGGGAAGTGGCTAGGTTCTGTTTGGGAGTGGGAGCCAGATGACAACAGGGAGCTGCAGAGAAGTCCCAGGAACTGTGGACAGAGCTGCATGTGGAACAGGCTATGAGTGCCGGACATCACAGCTGGGTGCAGCGCTATATGGGACTTATGGTGGAACTGCAGTGGCTGGGCAGGGACCCAGGGACCCAAACAGGAACTGCGATTGCTCACTTTGAACTGTAACTGTTAAAGCCCGTGTTCCTGGAATATTTGTAACCTTTCCCCAGGGGTGCTGGAACAATTTTTATAGTGGGGATGCTGAGAGCCATTGAACCAAACTGAAAACTTTGGATATAATGGAAACCACTTCAAGCCAGGGGGTGCTGCAGCACCCCCCGCATCCAGAGTTCCAGCACCTATGCCTTTCCCCTTTTCTGCCAGTCCTTCCCCTTAGCCATGTGTCTGAGTGGTTATTGGGACCCACCAGGGCTAGCGCCTACAAGGCCTAGCTGCTGAAGCACCTACAGTGCTTGCCTCTGAGACATAGAAAACCTGGCACACTCCTGGCATCCTACTCCTGGCAGAGTAATTATAGTTACATGAACTCTTAAAAAACATCATGAAAATGTTCAGCTGTGGGCTTCGTGCTGGACAAAGGAACAAATAGGCTTTTGTAGTATATTATGATTCATTTTTTCTCCCTTGTTTAAAATAGTTTGGCTTCTCAGTTCACATGACTTTCTGGCACTTAAAGGATAAACATGATGGCCTTGCCCTGCATGTGTATGATAATTGCTCATATTGTTATCTAATATGCTTCAACTGTGAAAGTCATAGGGGAATCCCAGACTATGATTGTAATTGTGTCCACGCCTCAGTAATCTTGCAATGGACACCGCCTGTAAACT